GCCCCATCATACACTCTTATTTATAAGAAAGGTAGATCATCCTCAAACTTGGGCTTTTTATCTCTTGTGACCTCCTAAGTGATCTTGGCACAGTGGTGGTTTATGATGATTGGTGTAGCAGAAATAGGAAAGCATGCTGGTGGGGGTTGGGGAAGGCTGGACAGGGAGGATGATATCAACAAAGCAAAGAGAAGACTGAGGTACTGAAGCCATAGCAATGACCCTGACAGAAACACAGCAGAAGGCCCTGGTCTGGCGACAAGGAGTCACAGGGCATCTAAAGGAGCATGCGCAATGGGAGTGGGGATATTCATCATCTGCGGCTGCAGTAAAATAACAGCGTGAGCCCAGGCTCTGCAGCCAGCCAGACCTGGGCTTGAATTGCCTCTTCCACTTACTCGCTGCATCTCCTTGGACAAATAAAATAACTTCTCCGAGCCTTGGTTTCTCACCTCTCTACCAGGACTAACCATAGGACCTACTTGTTAGTGAGGGTTAAGTAAGATAATACTCGTATGTGTGAAGTGTTTAGTGCTTGTCACCTTGCATCATTAAAAGACAGCTGCTGTTAACGCAGCTGTTGCTGTTGTACCGCATCACTGTTGGAGGTCATGCAGGGAGTTACAAGTGAGAACTGGAGACGCAGGAGGAGGGCTGAAGCTGGACCCATAGATGTGGGAGCCATCTGCACAAAAGGGAGGAGAAGGTGTGTGTGCAGGAGTGCAGGGCGGACCCTGGGAATGCCAGCCTGGGGAGTGAGATGGAGGAGGGAGAGCCGAGGATGGAGATGAGGATCAGTCAGCAGAGAGAAGGTCAGGCCGCAGGGTGGCCACCATCAAAGGAGAGTAGATCAAGAAGCGGCGCGATGGTCAGTATCGTCTGACGATGCAGGAAGGAGGAGTGGGCTGGGCGGCATCTCGAAGACCAGGTGACCAGGAGGCCAGCTCCTCACCTGCTCACTTGACACCCGAGCAGAACAGCCTGAATGTTCTATATGCAGTTGGTCAGGAGTTCTGAAGACCTCTGCTCCAGAAATGTCAAAGTGAGTTCAGGTGGCGACTGAAGCTGTGGACATGGAAGGAAGAAAAGAAGGAAGGAAGGAAGAAAAGAAAAGGGAGGAAGGAAGAGTGATGAGAGAGGGCCCAGGACTGGGAGACGTGATGGCCAGGTAGAAGGGGCTGAGCTTCGAGACTGAGGAGGAGGAGCCAGCAGACGGAGGGGTCACACATGCCAAGGAAAACAAATGTTTCCAGAAGGAGGAAGGGCTAACAGAGCCAAATGCTTCCAAGATGTCAGGCGAGATGAGAACCAAAACGAGTCCATGGGGTTTGTGTCCTGGATGGAGGTTCCTGCTTAGGTGACAGCTGCTCAGATGGAAGGACAGGAATGAGGTCAGGAGCGAATGGGAGGCGAAGGAAAGGAGACGGAGAGGTTAGACAACTCTCTGAAGAAGTTTGTCTGTAAAGTGGAAGAAGGGGGGGGGTGGTAGCTTGAGGAGTGAGGAAATAAGAGGGTGTTGCTTTTTCAGGCGAGCCAGTCTCGAATGGATTAAAATGATGAGGGGAATGATCCAGGAGGGAGGAAAAGGTGGAATCTGCAGAAGAAGGGGCGCGGAAGGTTCCTGAGAAGGCAGGAGGGGATGCGATAGGGGGTTGGCTCCTTGCTTCTATCCAGGAAGTGGGGGGAGATGAGCAGGGCGGGTAGCAGAATGCTGCTGAAGCTCTTCCTTTACAGCTGTTTTACCTGAGAAGTAGGAGGTGATGCCACCTGCTTGCTGGTGCAGAAGGGGGAGCTGGGGAATTGGAGGTGTGAGGGTCATGGAGAAGGACGGAATTTGTCATGGAATAGGGGAGAGTGTGTGAGCAGAGAAACACGGGAGGGTTGCCCAGCGAGGTAGGAGTTGGCGATCGTGGCCTGACAGGAGAGTCAGTGGGAGACTGATCCAGGGCAGGGTCGGCAGTGTTGGTGGCAGGCCAGGGTGCTGTGGGTGTCAACATGGAGAGAGGTCCCTGTGGCTGTGGCAGGCTGACGGAGGAGGACTTCAGGGACGACACGAAACCTAGGGCTATGAGCAGATGGTTTTGATGGTGACCCCCTGTAAATGGCTCAGTATCTTCTCAACTCCAAATTCCCATCTCGTGTTATAACCTATTGCCCCCCACAACCTTTCACCCCCCCAGCCCCCTCCCACCTGCTGCCCCCAAATGGTCCTTGACTTTCCAAATCTGATACGGTTTCAAGAACCATGTCAGGGTTGATTGCCAGTTTAAAAATACACTGTTGCTTTCCCGTTTGTGGCACTCGAGAGGCAGTTTGGTGAGGCTGGGCCCAGGCTGGGTGGGCAGGCCTAGTGGTGTGCTCTCAGGGTTCCTGTCCAGCTGGGGGGCTCGGACAAGGCAGGACAGCATGAGGGGAAGAGGCCAATTACAAATCGGTGCCCACTGTCTTCACCCCTCACCAGAGCTCTTCAAAACCCACGAAGGATGGTGTTTTGCTCAGAGACAGTGTTCTAGATGCCACCAAGCCTTGCCGTGGGTTTGTCCCCACACTGGTGCGTGCCGTGTCTTCCTGTTGACCAGCACTGGCACCAGAGTACATTCTATTCGTGCCCTTCTCAGACCCACCAGCTCTCCACAAGGCTCCAGCTGTCAGCCCTATCTCCCAAGTCGCTGCTATGAGTGGCATCTGTTGGTTGCAGCCAAAACATGATTAGGGGAAATAAAACCCTGTAGGGCCTATTGGAAGGACTGGGTAACGCACGAGGCGCTTGAAAGTGTCATTTCTCTTTCTAGCTTAACTCAGGTGATCCGAAAGTTTGCCAAGCAGCTGGACGAGTGGCTGAAAGTGGCTCTCCACGACCTCCCAGAAAATTTGCGAAACATCAAGTTTGAATGTGAGTACTGAGTCTGAGGGCAGAGGGAAAAGGAGAACATTTTAGTGCCAAACATCTTACATGGGTTGTTAATCAAAGAACAACAATAGCTACCATTTATTGTTTGTTCCTATAAAGCGCCAAGTATTATGCCGAGCGCTTTTCCATGCATTAACTTATTTAATCCTCACAAAGTGTTCATTACAGGTGGCACACCTGTTTTTCTAGGAAAGGAAGTAGGCTTAGAGAGGTAGCAAGTGGCAGAGGCAGGTCATGTGCTCCCAGGTCTGTCTGTCGACCCCAAAGTTTCTGCTCATCTCCCCCATACTCCCTGTCTCATTTAATCCCCATGTCACCTCGGAGATGTCAGAAACAGTATCCCTCTTTTACAGATGAGGCTCCGAAAGGCAAAGAAATTTCCCCAAAGCCACACAGCCACACAGCTGGTAATTAGGGACCAGGAGTCAAACTCCAGTCTGTCTGACCCCCAAACCCAGATTTCCCCAAAGCTTCTGCCCACAAAATAGTGGTAGCAGGAGACAGAAAACAGCTTTGGGGCTTCCCGTATTTAATTCCCTGCCTAATGAGAAAGCCAAATTAATATTTCTCATAAAGGGACTGGGAGTGGGACTTCTCTGCACTGAGCATCACCGTTCATTCCCCAGCATTAGTTTTGAGTGAGAAAGCTGGCCCTCTTTCTCTGTCTCCATGTGTCTGTACTTGTGGGAAGACTCGCGTGCTATTTATTAAACAAAGATGAAATGATTTTTAAGCAAAACAAAGTTGTAAGATATATGTCTCTTAAAGCCCCGTTGGAATACAGCTTGCCATTCTTGCCCGAAATCGTGCCCGCGAGGAAAATGAAGGAGATCAAATTACTCTCTCTCCACAGGCGAAGGGGGCCCTTTCAGCCGCTCTGAGGCCGCCTGTGGTGCCCATCACCTATTGATAAAGCCCGCTTTATTTCACGGCTCTCAGTTCTTTTCTTTTCACGAGCACTAAATTCCACATCACAAAGTTAAAGAAAAAGTAATTAAGGAGACGGATTAACGATTGATCGGCCTGGAAAATTAGAAGTTCATCTGTCCCCCCGCAGCCCCGCCCCCCCTTTCCTCCACCCCACGCCCTGTTTTTCAAACCAAGCTGGCTCTGAGTACAAATTACAATAATCCCAGGGACGTTTCTGACCGTTTCTTGACCAGTTCAGAAATTAATGAGAGGAATGCCCACACCCGTTTTAATTCTGCTGACCAAACAAACCTGTTGAAAGGTGGCAGCGAGGAGCTTTCCTGACCTTCCACCTGTGGGTGCCTGGATGGAGACACCTGCCCTTCCCAGGGAGCCTTGGGGCGCACCCCAAGAACATGCAGGGAGTGGAAACACAGGTCACTCCCAACAACTCGGTGAGAATGAAGACCTTGGACAGGCACGTGGCGTGTCTGCTTCGAAATTCACAGATACAAGATCACCCCACTTCACATCATCAGCCGATTCTGTTAGCCTAGAAAACAGGATCCATCACCAAAACACACAAATAGGTCGAGGAGTTCATTTGATTAAATTGACAAATTATGAGTGCAAAGCCTCGTTCAAGGTGCAGCCCAGGGTTCCCTCCTCCGAGCGGCCCTGAGACCACCACCACTGGGGCTGGATCAGGCCTTCCTCTCAGACAGGCTACTTGATAAAGGGCCTTCTTCAAAGCTCCCACTTGATTCCTGCAGCTATTTATGGGGAGAAGTGATTGAGCTTGCAATTAGCAAAATGAAAGACAAGTAAATAATTGCTTTTACTCATGGTTGATTGACACCACACTTTCTCACATCTGCCCAGTGTGGCGTACACGTGACTTTGAAATATGTACCCCAAATATCGCCATTTTAGGAAACAGTTGTCCGAATGGAAGACCAGAGACTCAAATGCAGGGTTTTGCCAGCGGGCTCCTAAAATGGGGTAGGATGGTGAAAGGAATTTTGGCAAATAAAAACTGCTTTTTGAAACCTGCCCCTGGAAAACCCAAAGCAGGACCATAAAGCCTACAGATATTTCACACTCACTCTTTCCTTCTTGCAGTATCCAGAAGGTTTTCCCAAATTCTGAGACGGCAAACGTCACTAAATCACCTCTGCCAGGTATGTGTCCTGTGTTACATGTTCTAACTACTGCTGAGTCCTTGCAAATGAGGGCAAGTCCACAAAACCACCCCCCAGAGGACCTGTCGGGTGTGGCTGTGTAACAGCACACTCTCACTATTATCTTTAATTTCTACAGATGAGGAGAAAACACATTAGCCAATCACTAAATAGTTTGAACAAGCATGCAAAGCAACTGCTGACGTTACTGGGCCCTTCCGCTTTCAGATATGGTCTAGGTCTACAAGTGTGTGTTTCCCTTAAATGAATCCAGGTTTCTCAGCCACATTTTGAGCTGGATAATTCTTCCTTGTTGTGAGCTATTCTGTGCACTATAGATGTTTAGTAGCATCCCTGGCCTCTACACACTAGATGCCAGGAGTACTCCCATCCCCCAAGCACCACCTGGATTGTGACAATCAGGAATGTCTTACAGACACTGCCAGATGTAGCCTGGGGACACAATATCGCCCCACCCGCACCACTGTGAACGCTGAGATCCGTGCTTCACACAGATAAAGAGGATGAGTTGTTTGTGTCATCCAAAAGAGTTCAAAGCCACGAAGTACATTAGTTACCCAATTTTGTTTTTCCAGATTTCTGTTGTATGTAGCACAAAAATGACATGTGGTTAATATACAAAATTCAAAAATAACAAAAGTATTTCCAAGGGGCCAGCCGAGTGGCTCAGTTGGTTAAGAGCTCACTCAAGAGTTTGAGCTCTGAGCAACAGCGGTTCGAGTCCAGCCCGAGCTGAGCAGGCGCTGAGCTGCCAACAGGTAGCAGGATGGCTCAGCTAAAAAAAAAAAAAAAAGTATTTCCAGGAAAAAGTAGAAGGGCCCACTATAACTCCACAGCTATCACTTGATGGCATAAACCTTGGCATTTCTATTAATTTTGCATCTTAAGGAAGGCACTCTAAGTCTGCCCATTAGCATTCATTAAAACATTAATGACTTTAAAGCAGAAGGGGCAAACCGGTTGGCCACAGGTCAAATCTGGCCCTCAGATGTGCGGGCTTAGTTTTGTTTGATTTGTATATGTTCAAATTTTTTTTTTTTTTACTTAATCACTAACAGTTGAAACTGGTAGATGATAGCTAAACACCACCTTTTCTAATGAGAAAAAATGTGAAGAGCCGGCAACCCAGAGCTACTTTTCCCCAGGGCAGTAATCACCCGGGTGGCCTGAGCATCTCTCCATCAGGCACTGTCCTCATCACCCCACTTCCTCTTACACCTGGACCACCTCACTCGCGTATGTCCCCAGCTCGAAGAGCCGGTCTCGGGTCATATCAGGGAACTAGAAATGGTTTTGGTGCCTCCCGCTGGGGCTCTAGACAGTTTAGAAAGACTTTTGACCCCATAATGCACGTGCAGGTAAAAGCATTGACACCCCTGCCTACAAGTACCTGCACGCTCGCTCGCTCTCTCGCTCGCTCTCTCTCTCTCTCTCTCTCTCTCTCTCTCTCTCTTTTTCACACAGACACACACAGAGAGATACACACACACACTCCCACTCCTCTTCCCCCACACACAGTATGTAATTTAATCAGCAAATGCTACCTTTTCATTTTCACTAGGCAGCTATCAGACACATCCCTGGATCAGCCAGAGAACTGGGTTAGTGCTGGGATGAAACACCGTGGAACATCTTAGCATCCCAGGGAGCTTTCCTAAACACACACAAGGAGGGTCAGACTACACAGCGCCCAGCCAAAATCTCACCCCCAGACACCTAAACCCAAGATCTTTTTTTTTTTTAAAGATTTTTATTGGGGAACTGGGGGAAGGGGAACAGACAAGTTGCTGTCCTTTTGGACGGCCGCTCACTGCGGCTGCTCATGCTGGCTGCTGGCTGCTGGCTACACACAGTAGCCCATGGCAACCCACTGCCACAGGGACTGCAGCCTGGGCAGTCTCCGGTGACTCAGGGCAGCCCAGCTCCAGGTTGAGCTGTTGTTCAGCATCTTAGCTGTAGAGGGCAGTGTCACTGTCCCTCTTATGTGGGATCCGAACTGGGGCCTTCTGACGTCCCAAGCCAGCTCTTAACCAACGTGTCACTTGGCCAGCCCTAAACCCAAGATCTTAATATCCAGGCCCTTCCAGGTACATTAAGCAAGCAGCTCAGCATTCACATCTCAGTCACTTATTCCCCAAAATCTTTTGAATGCCTACTGCGTGCCAGACACTAGGCATGCTTAGTGGTATTTGCCCTCAGCAGAAAAAAAAGTAAACCAAAAAATAATAAAAAGTGATACGTGTAAATAGAGAATAGCAGGGCATTTAGGTCCTATTTAGATGACGTGGTTAGAGAGTGCCTCTCCGTGGGAGTGACACTGAAGTTGAAACATACCTGATGGACGGGTTGCCAGGGCGGAGCAGGGTGAGAGAAGGGTGTTCCAGCCGGCTGGGACACCATGTGCAAAGGCCCTGCGGTGTCAGTGCAGTCACTGCAGAGAGAACGACCTGAGGGACAGTAGCCTCCTTCATTGCGCTCTTACTCCCTGAACTAGGCACTTTTCAAGCAATTTCTCAAGAAATCCTCAGCAGCATCCCTCTGTAAAGGGTACTAGGTGCTGTAACAGCTCCACTTTATAGCTCGGGAAACGGAGGTCAATCTACTCGCCTGGCCCGTGTCAATCAGCTGGTCAGCAGCAAGGCCAGGATGTGACCAGAACCCCAGACCTTTACATTCAGTTGTTTTCATTATCATGAGAGACGAAACCAACTCACGTACTGGTATATCCTAGGCTTCTGTGTCCTTCAAAGAGTTCTAACAATGATTTAAGTAAGATTTTACTTGGTCTGAGACAGTCTGGGTGTAAAAGGATTTGTCAGTATTTACCTTTGCCTGGAAATTCACAAGCACTAGGAGACATATCATGTCCATGTGTATTTGAAACCTCTTTTTCCCCATTTATTAAAGACTTATTTGAAAACATAAGTAAAGGAAATAATTAATTAATATTTTAATAATGCTAATGGGCAGACTTAGAGTCCTTTCCTTAAGGTGCAAAATTAATAGAATGCCAAGCTTTATGCCACCAAGTTTTTTCTTTGCTTTCTTCAGTATTCTTCTAAGTTGGTGGTTCCAAGTATTTTTATTCCAAGTGTTGTTCCAACCTGCAAATTTAAGTTCTAATGAGGGTTTGCTGAGGAAACCACAGCTTAAATACTTACACACACACACACACACACACACACACACACACACACCAGTAAACTACCGACTCATAAGGTATGGTTTCCCTTTTCCTCCATCTCAATTATTTATATTTGTTTTAATCATTATAGTTATATAAAAAGTAAAGACAGAAAACTAGACTCTAGACTGCTTCAGAATGCGTTTATATGAAAAATATACACTGTAAATCCCTGGGGTTAAAGCTCTTACAGGCCCAGGGGCTGCAGCACCATCCCTAGGTCTGGGCCTGTTTCTTCTCTGGTACGAGAGACACACAGGTTATTAAGCACAGAGCTCCCATCCCCCAGGCTCGCATCAGAAGGTGACAGATCTCTGCGCCTCATCCCACTGTCCCACGGGGTCAAGACCAAAGGGGCTGGGAACAGCAGGGCTTGGCCTGGCCGAGGCCACCTCGAGGTAGTTTTGTATAGAGAAGGGAGATAATTGTGAGAGGGGCGCAAGAGGAAACAGTGCACGGCCCTTCCGAGCTATGGACTCACCTACTCATTTCCTGAAATTGAGTTTTCCTGAATTTCAAAGTAGTTCGCAAAAGACTGTTGGCAGATTCATTAAAAAGGCTTAAACGAAGCAAAGGGGTTTTAACCCAACAACCCATGAGCTAATGAGTTGATTGGATTGGATTGCAGGCGTCCCGAACAGTGATCCACAGTGCAGACATCACCTTCCAAATGCTGGAAGACTGGAGGAATGTGGACCTCAACAGCATCACCAAGCAAACCCTCTACACCATGGAGGACTCTCGCGATGAGCACCGGAAACTCATCATTCAGTGTAAGATGTTCCACTGGGGGCGGTTTTCTATTTGATTTTTTTTTAAAAGAAAGAAAAAGTGTCTCGGGAAATATTTCAGTGGCATTCCCACCCTGTCCTCCCCCCTAGGATCCTCTCCCTTTCATTGTTCCTGTTAAATGGGTTGTCCCAGATGCGTTCGCTAATTGATTTAAGAGGACACGTGTCAAGATTTGGGGGGAAATTGGTTCCTGGTGCTACTGGGCAGCACAGTGTCATGCAGAAATCCTCACATGTGACCTTCAATGCCAGGCACGGTTCCCTAGGTGGCATAAAAAATAGAGAATAAAAGCTTGTCGCTCTCTCAGTGTATGTCAGCCTGGAGTCAGCTGGATAAGCTGCTGGTTTTTCAATGAGGGTCACATGAGTCAACCCACCCATTGAACGGTGAACCTTTGGATTACATTAAATGTTTGAGAAGGGGATGGAGGGTGATTTATAATACTTCTGTGAACATATATTCATGTCCCCATGGACAAAGACTGCAGAAATACTGCTCCAAGTATTGTCCTGATGCAGTCAGGTTGTTCTAGTCGCAGAGGACATGAGCGGGCCAGAGAACACCCATCGTTAGCACATCTATGCTATTTCTCAAATGCCCGCACAGCCCGGGGACCCTGGACCAGGGTCGTTGGCTTCTTCCTTACTCTGCTCAGCCTTCCTTTCTCATGCCTCTGGGGGAAAGAGAGCACGAGGGTGGGAAGGGGGTCAGCTCTCCTTCCATCAGCTCTCAGAAACGCTGGTGCTGAGAGTATCTGGAGGTGGGGGATATGGCAGCTGCCGCGCCCTCACCTTCTGAACAGGATGAGGCCCAAGATTCTAATAGTGACGTTGTTCAGGAGGCTACAGAGCGGCTGTGCCCCCGAGAAGAGAGGCCTTTTCTCCTGGGAGCCCCCGGCCCCTCCGATTTCCAGTACATGCCGTCTACACTGTTGTCTTGAGGAAGAGCTTTCTCCAGCCTGTCTCAGCATATGGCGTTTATCAACAAACAGTGTTCCCTAAGATGTTCCTACTAGAGACTTCTTTCCCAGTTCAAAACCCTTTTCAAAAGCAAGTGGAGCAGCTGAAACGCTGGACCATGTGGACCTTCCATGGAGTTTCTTTTCTCATCAACCCCAGAGCTCCTATCAGGATCCTGTTTCTCTCTCTGTGCAGCCCCTAGCCTGCTTTCCTCTGTTAAGAATTTTAGAGATCGTCTCTAAAATAATATTTCAGCATATAGACTGCCTAGTCTGTGCCAGGTCCCATGTCAAACCCACCGCATGTATGATGTTATTTAATCTCCACATCGACTCCCGTGAGGAAGAGCCTTTACAGATGAGAAAACTCAGTCTCAGAGAGCCGGTGAGCCTTACCCCAAGTCTGGTCTCAGTGTCACCACCATGCTCTAGTGCTGTCACTTTGCAGAGGAAGCAAAAATAATGAGATGTGGGCACGTTTCAGAGGTTCCTGGATCTTTCCGAGTTCTTGCAGTCATGCTTGCTCTTCTGGTTTTGCCTACTCCCTGCTGGAAAGCCAGTGAAAAGCATGGCGAGTGAGCACTGACAGCACTGGCTGTGCCTCCGATGGCCGATGGCCGTGTCCCCAGGGCCTCATACCGGCCAGGCATGGAGGAGGTGCCTGTAATGCCTGTGCAGGACCCATCAGATGAGTGGAAACGGAGAGCGTCCGACTTCCTGGTTCTGCCAACCATTCTGAGCAGCATTAGCCTCCGTGCTCTTCTCCCACAATACCTTTCATGAGGGAGGAAAAGGCAACCCTGACTCATAGGGTGAACTATAACCACCCTCGCTTGCTTTAGGGACCAGGCTCTGAGCCTTTGCTGGAACACCATGGGGGTCACAGCTACCTCCCCACGAAAGAGCCTCTCGGGGCTTTCTCTTCAAGCGCCGTAGGGCAGAATGGTGCCCTTTCAGGCTGTGATTGTATCTTTCTTCTGGACACACTATGCGTCTCCCTCCGCTGATTCCGCCAGGTCAGCACCTCTTTTACCTGCTGTTCAGTTCAACCCAGCTGGATCTTACTGTCCTGGGTCAGGCACTATGTTAGACGCCGGGCAAAGAGCAGTGAATAAGATGGACACTGCCCTTCCCATCTGGAACTTAAAGCTAATGGCTATTGGAAGGTGACCAAGTAATTTACACATGTGTTGCATCTTACCAAAGAGGACCCGCTATGTGAGGCAGTGCCAGGGAGAGGGGGATGGAGGAAGGGTGCCAAACCTGAGCGCAGATGGCCTGGCACACAGGTGCCGTCCCTGCACCTCCCAGACAGCTGGGAAGTGAGTCCCTGCACACAGTGAACTGAACCAGAGATCATTTTGAGCAGGGTCAGGGGCAACTGTGCGCTGCACCCTCCTTTCCTTACAGCCAGCTGCCCAGTCTGCAGGTTCTTGCTTTAGGGGATCACCGTCACACCTGTGCTGTAGATCCTGGCGGGGAATGTTCTGCCCACCTTACACTGTGCAGTTGGGACTCAGGCATGCTGATGAGAATGAGTAGGTGGTACTGTGGTAAGAACGTGGGGCTGGAATGCCCTGCAGACCTTGATTCAAACCCTGGCTCTCGCGCACTGTGACTTGGCTTCCAGATCTGTACAATGGGGGTAATGCGAAGGGATTAAATAGTGCCAGTGCAGTGAAGTGGTTAGGAGGCAAGCACTCGAGTCAGGCTGGGTTTTAAGTTGCCTGTGCCATTCACTAGCTGTGAAACCTTTAGAAAGTTACTCAGTTCTTAGTGCCTCAGTTTCCTCATTTGTAAAATGGTACCTACCTCCTTGGGTTGTTCATGGATTAATTCAACAAACACTTGAGCAACTCCTGTGTATCAAGCACTGGTCTAGGTGCTGGCCTCATGACATTCACATTCTAGAGGTTGTCTAAGGTTAAACAAGTGTGTCCATGTGACGTCTTTAAAAGAGTGCCTGGCACCTGGCAAGCACTGGATACATGTTAGCAGTCAGCACTTTCATTGCCACCACCGTTGTCATTGTCATCAGTTGAATCACAATAGCTCAGATACACAGACAGTGTTATAAAGAGTAAACGAACACCAACAAGAAATTCAGAGACTAGGTAGGGTTCCAGTCCCTGCTCTGTCACTAACTCACCCTCTGATTTTGAGTGGGCCATTGAATCTCTTTAAGGCAAAGCTTCCTCACCTGTAAAACGAGGCAGACCAACTATTATAAATGGACTTTTTTTTTTAACTTTATTGGGGAACTGTGTGGTTTTCCAGGACCCATCAGCTCCAAGTCAAGTTGTTGTTTTCAGTCTAGTTGTGGAGGGTGCAGCTCACTGGCCCATGTGGGAATCGAACCGGCAACCTTGGGAGTCTGTACTCTAACCCCCTGAGCTAACTGGCTGCTCCCTAAATGGACTTTTAAAGTGTCCTGACTTTCTAGTGCTGAAAGCTGACCTCTCGTAGCAGTTATCAACTGAGTATAAAATAGGGAAAATTGGCTGGTCCAGTGAAATGGGAGGAAAAAAAAAACTGCTCAAATGAAAACTACAGAAATGTATGGATCTTGAATTGTGACTTGATTTGTTGAGCTCCACATACAAAAGCACACAAAAAAAAGTGTAATGAAAGGAGATGTTTCAAATTGGAGGTCACCACAGCTATGTTTGTTTCCCATCGTGATTTACTGATTACAAAGTACTTCCCGACTCAGTTATCTGACTTGTAAGTGAAGACAGGTTATAAAGTGGTGCGATCATCTGCCTTTTACTAATGTGGAATCTGAGGGCACAGAGATAGTTTCCTTCATTCCACAAATATTTATTAAGCATCTACTATTTAAGTAGTACTCAGTGCTACTTAACTGAGCACCGAGAGTCTGCTTGCCAATGTAGTTGTGGTTCGGAAACATTTGAATGATCAAATGTGCCCATGCACAGGGCAGACAGCGGCAATGCCTATCTGTTCACACGTGCCAGCGTGCACTGGATAACAACTGCATCGCAGGTAATGCACCAGCTAATAAAGATATCAGGCAGAGAACTGGCAGGGACACACACACACACACACACACACACACACACACACACACACACCAGTAAACTACCGACTCATAAGGTATGGTTTCCCTTTTCCTCCATCTCAATTATTTATATTTGTTTTAATCATTATAGTTATATAAAAAGTAAAGACAGAAAACTAGACTCTAGACTGCTTCAGAATGCGTTTATATGAAAAATATACACTGTAAATCCCTGGGGTTAAAGCTCTTACAGGCCCAGGGGCTGCAGCACCATCCCTAGGTCTGGGCCTGTTTCTTCTCTGGTACGAGAGACACACAGGTTATTAAGCACAGAGCTCCCATCCCCCAGGCTCGCATCAGAAGGTGACAGATCTCTGCGCCTCATCCCACTGTCCCACGGGGTCAAGACCAAAGGGGCTGGGAACAGCAGGGCTTGGCCTGGCCGAGGCCACCTCGAGGTAGTTTTGTATAGAGAAGGGAGATAATTGTGAGAGGGGCGCAAGAGGAAACAGTGCACGGCCCTTCCGAGCTATGGACTCACCTACTCATTTCCTGAAATTGAGTTTTCCTGAATTTCAAAGTAGTTCGCAAAATACTGTTGGCAGATTCATTNACACACACACACACACACACACACACACACACACACACACACACACCCCTACCTCACTCCCCACCCCTAACTATAACAGTGTCATGAGATAATGAAAGTAGAATGCAGAAAATAAAGTGCTATGAAAGAATAGAGGAGGCGTGATCAGTTTGCTGGCAAGAGGACTAGGGAGGGTAGAAAGGATTTCACAGAGGGGTCATTGCAGCTGGGCCACGAAGAACCAAACAGTCCAAGCCGAGGGAAGTGCCTGAGAAAACAGGATTTGGGGGAATGGCAAGTAATATGAGGTGGCCAGGGTTTAAAGTGTTCACAGGCATAGACGATGAATTTGCAAAGGTAATGTGGGGCATATTTTCTGAAGTCTTAAATGCCCTGCTGAGACTTTGGAGTTTTATTTTACTCAGTTTTATTCCTTTGTTCCTTTAAGACGTGTCTCTGTTTAAACACAAGTGCAGTGATGTGTGGGGTTCCCTTTGTTTGACAGTGTATCAGGAGTTTGACCACCTCCTGGAGGAGCAGTCTCCCATTGAGTCCTACATCGAGTGGCTGGACACCATGGTGGACCGGTGTGTTGTGAAGGTTGGTAAGCTCAGTGGGAGGCGCAGCCCTGGGTACTGCAGCCCATCACTGGCCTTTGTGACACACAGTGGTACAGAGCCCCGCCGTGAGCTCCCTGAACGTTCCGGAGCAGCCACGGGGCCCTGGGGTTCTGAGGATAGGCCTGTCCCCCTCAGGGTGGGGGTGGGGGCGGAGAGGGGGAGGGGTTGCAGGAGGCAGCGCCCTGAGTCTCCCTGCCCTGATCCAGCCTGGTCAGCATCTCTTTTATCTGTTATGCATATAAGGGCCTTGACAAAATATTTCATTTGTTTAAAGTGTATGTTTGCTGCTAAAAACAAAAAGTTGAAAACCATTGCTCCATACTCTGAACTTGTAGAGCTTACATAAACCTTGCTGTCACTTTTCAAAGACGGTAATAAATGGAGAGGTCACTTCCTAACCGCTGTTAAAGCCGTTCACTTTCCCATAGGTGGCTGCCAAGAGACAAGGGTCCCTGAAGAAAGTGGCCCAGCAGTTCCTCTTGATGTGGTCCTGCTTCGGCACAAGGGTGATCCGGGACATGACCCTGCACAGTGCCCCCAGCTTTGGTAAGGCCACCCAGCCCTCCCCACATCCAAGCACTTGTTCTCTGAGCAATGTGTATCAAGGTCACCTCTCGAAGTCAGCCACCATCTTAACTTGCTGTCTTTGAGGCCACAATGATATTGCCCCGAAATGTGTCTGTTCTGGGGGGACACAATAGTGTTAGAACTTTAAGAGAGAAAGATGACACTGCATGCTGCAAGTGAAGTATACAAATCTGAAAATGCGAAGTTAGCACACGGATAGTATTTGAGTTCAGAGAGGACTAAATAGCAGTGGCTGTACTCCTCGTTTGCCAGATGTCCCCAGAAATTGCTGCTTCCACTGGACTATTTTGCAGAATTTCATAGCGTTCACTTCCCTAGCCTGGGCACGTGAAGAGGCCTCTGAGTTTGAACATTTGCAAATGGCTTGATTGGCATCCTAGCAGTGGTTGGACTGTAAAGCTTTCTTTAAAAATGTGCCCCAGTCTGAGCCCTAGAAAAGGGCTTTTGAATTCATGTTCCTTTTGTTTTACTGACCCCTTGGGTTTGCTTCACTTCCTACCCCAAGTCCCCATCTATACTGTTTTCCTGTGTGCTGGGACTTGAACTCTCTGCCCAGAGGTGGTTATAACAGTCTCTGTGGGCAGGAACCTAATAGTCACCCACTTGGGGTGAAAGCTATGCTACACTGTAGGACACCATTTTCTGATTTTTATCAGAAAAAGTAGAGTATGCATCGAGTCCACGTCATCATTAGCAAAGTGAGGTGGGACTTGAAGGCATTATCCAGACATTTGAAATCTCCCAATACTTTGGCCTCAATTTTCTAGGCATTTCAGCAAAGGGCTGTTGGTAAATTTTTTGGGTAATTGCTTCAGTTCTCTATTTTACTTTGCAAGTAGAGATGTGGTTTTGTTTCTCATTATCACCAATTAAGCCAATCAGCTCTGGGTTTTGCTCTGGGTTTAATTTGACACTTTTCCGTGTAGCTTTTTATGGTGTTGTCACCGTTTTCCAGTTGTGCTATACAACCAAGTGATTATGTGGTGAAACAAAGAAGGCACTATTTTTTCTAAACAACTCTGTCCATGAAAGACTGTGTTTACCCAATTGGAGAAACATTTTGTGGTCGATTTCTTTCATCTCAGCGTTGGGAAGGTCTCTGAACCTGCCTGCGCCATGGCTACAGATGGAAATTCTCTCTGAGCAGTATATGGAAATGCTCTGGTGACTGCTACCTGGGCAGTGCCATCAGGCGTGGCATTTTGATGACTTCCAGTTCAGCGTAGTTAGTGTTAGCACATGTTACCTCTGGCTCTGGGAAAATCATTCGTGCATTACTGCTTTCAGTTAAACAGATGGTTGAAAAATAGTTGAGATTTTTTTCATTGTTTCAAAATCAGAGAATCAACAATATCACACACATATATACACATCCACAAAGCAAACATTTCTTCAGTTTGCTGATTCTTAAACTAACTAGGTATTTTATTAAGAACCCATTAGACAGGGAAAGGTATTCACTTTATAATATTCTTTGAAATTCATTTGTTTTTACCAAGTTAACAGTCAATCTAATAAAGGTGGTTTCGACAGTAGAACAATTAGGGGTCTATGAATGGGTTGAATTTATTCCTGAGAAATATTGTTCCTTAAAATGTGTGGGATTTTTTGTTTTGTTTTGTTTTGTTTTTTGAGCTACATGCAGTTATGGATACACTGGAAACTTGGGCAAATGGCGAAAATGGTCAATAAACTTTTAGAAAAGGCAAGAGATAGTAACCCAGTTTTACTTTTACAGTATTTTTTGACCCATAATACCTGTTTCCAAGTCCAGTTAGCAAACTATCTGAAATGGTCTTGCTCATATGACTCATTGTTGAGTTTTGTGGCTTGGGGTGACAGGCAAGTTGAAAGAATTTGCGGCGGACAAAAGCCCAGCTCCCCCTTTCTGCCTGTATATGTCAAAGACACAGTTGGTGGTTGTGTTTGGGTCATGTGTTCCCTGTATAAAAACAGCTAATTAGGAAAAAGCCCTCTGTTCACTGGCTCCCTCCCCGAGACGCAGGGGCCAGCTCTATATATCTTATAACTCCCACACGATTCCCGTCGCTGTGAATGGTGCAGGGTTTGCGTGTCAGCTTAGCAGGCTGACCAGTACAATGATCGTGTGGAATATGGCAGTGATCCCGTGGGGGACTCTATCACCTCTTCCCAAAACAGCCTCTTTCAAAGGTAGTTGACTCTTTTCTTCTCCTTAATTCCTTTTCATTCTTTTCTCCCAGTTCCCTTTCACTGGCAGAACCTATGCTGTGAACTAAAGTAGCCAGACTTTCTTTCTTTGCTGCGAGGAGCAGTTTCTAGCAAAATTAAGTTAGCAAAGGTAGGCTAGCAGGCAATGAACTTTCAGGCCTAGGAGAGCGGAGGAAATTGGAGGTTTTATTTTTTTAAATGTAAAAACCCCATATTTCCACTTGACTGCGCTGATTTCAGTTCACAGGATATCTGGATCCCTGGCCAGTGCAGGTGCTTTTGCCCTTTCACTCTGGGTGTTCACTGGTTGCCCCTTATTTCACTATAAGGACATCTGGAAGGCAACAGTGGTTCCCAGAAATCCTTTGGCACAAAACGGTTTGAAAGCAGCCCTGCATTTGACAGCTAAGGGGACAGGATTGGATATCATTCCCCAAATTTTCACATTGTTATGCACTTGTTTTATGACCTATCATCAAAGTTCACTCACTCAGGCAGGGCCGGGGAGGCCACATGGAGTGGTTCTGTCAGGGAGCGGCTGCCAAACCAAGTGGCCATGATTGAGCCCTGCACACTGCTTCTCTATGCTCTGATGTCCTGGCATGCCTCTATTCCCGAGATCCTGCTAAATTGCAGGATACTGACATCAGAAGCGTCACTCAGGACCCTGCCAAGCACAAGGAGGCGGGAATTGCTTTCCCTGTAGGCAGGAGAGGAAGCAGAGACCCAGAGAGGAGAGGGAACTTGCCCATGGACATGTAGCAAATGGAGCTGAGCTTCTTCTGGAATCTTTCCCATGCTAGAGCTTCTGCTATGCCACACTGTCACTGCCTCATCTTTTGCCAGCTGGATGCTAATAATAAAAACAAAGTAACATCTATTGAGGGCCTAGTATAGATATAATATTAGGCACTTGCGAATTTAATCCTCACAACCACCTGCGAGGTCCCCTCTTACTGCCCTCAACAGATGCGGAAGCCGAAGTACAACGTGAAGCTAAGCAAGATAATAATAATCACTATAACAAATATTTAGGAAGCGCATATTACCATTCAACTCTCACATTAACTCTGCAAGGCAGATACTAACAGGTACCATTTTACAGAGGTGGAAAGGGAGCTTGGAGAATTTTCTTGCCCAAGATTAATATGGCAAGTGGTGGAGCTCCTTTCAAAATCAAATCGATCTGACCACAAAACCCATGCTTTCTCAGCGATCACAATTAAGACAAATACCCTGGGCTCACATGCGTGGCACAAAAAGGCTAGACAAATTTGTTTAATCCTCATTGATGTTTTGTTGTTGTTGTTGTTGTTGTTGTTTGTTTTGTTTTGTTTTGTTTTAATTGGGAGAGGGGAGCAGTGTTGGGGAATTGGGGGAGGGGACCAGCCAAGTTGTTCTTCAATCTTCGTTCTGGAGGGTGCCTGTCGCCATCTGGCTGCCCATCAGCAGCTCGTGGCCTCTTAAGCTCAAGGTGCTGTGTTACAATCTTAGTTGCAGGTGGGTGTAGCCACCATCCCATGCGGGAGTTGAACCAGCAGCCTCGTTGTTAAGAGCGCGAGCTCTATCCACTGAGTCATCTGGGTGGCAGCTCAGTTCAAGGTGCCGAGTTCAGTCTTAGTTGTGGGCGGGCGTAGCCCACCATCAAACAAGCAGTCTTGTTGTTAGGAGCACGTGCTCTCACCAGCTGAGCCATCCTGCCACCTGTTGGCAGCTCAGCAGCAGCTCAGCTCAGGCGCAGCATCACTGGCCCATGTCGGAATCAAACCAACTGGCGGCCCTGTTGCTCAGAGCTCACGCTCTTAAGCTAACTCTTAACCAACTGAGCCACTTGGCTGCTCCCTCATTGATGTTTTTTTTAAATATCCATATTGATGGATCAAAAAAAAATTTAAAGCTATGAGACAAAAGAACAATAATTAGGCTATCATGAGTAATAAGAGATGCCAGAAAACAGTGGAATAATATCTTTTAAGTGTTGAAAACAAAGAACTGTCAACTATTATTCAAGAGTGAGGGCCAAGGGCCGGCCGAGTGGCTCAGTTGGTTAAGAGCTTGCTCAAGAGTTTGAGCTCTGAGCAACAGGGTCACTGGTTGGAATCCCGGCCCAAGCTGAGCTGCCGCTGAGCTGCCAACAGGTATCAGGATGGCTCAGCTGAAAAAAAAGAGGGCCAAGTAAAGACATTCAGTTATACATAGACTAAGAGAATTTGGAACCCATAAAACTTCACTTAAAAAAAAAAAACTACTAAAGGATGCATTTCAGCAAGAAGAAAAATAAAGCCACAGCTAAAGTCTAGAATACAAGAAACAACAATGTTCTAGTTAGTTTTTCTGTCTTAACAAATTACCCCAAACCTTAGTGGCTTAAAATAATCATTTTGTTATGCTTATGGGTTCTGTGGGTCAAGAATTTGGACAGGGCACAGCAGGGACAGCTTTTCTCTGCTCTGTGATATCTGGGGCCTCGGATGGGAAGTCTCAAAGGCTGGTCATGAATCAACAGCTGGAGGCTGGAATCATCAGGTGGCTTCTTCACTCCCATGCCTGGTGCCTGAGCTGGCATGACTTGACAACTAGGGCTGCAGAGCAAGGTGCCTTCAAGTGGCCCTTCCACGAGGCTTAGTTTCCTCACAGCTTGGTGGCCTCTGAACAGGTAAACTTCTCACATGGTGAGCTCAGGGCTCTACATGTGAGCATTCTAAGGGGAAGACTGCATTGCCTTTTATGACCCAATCTCAGAAGTTAAACAGTGTGACTTCCTCCAT